TGTGGAAGGTGAGTCATGATGATAAGCTTTAATAAATAACATAAAACAATAAACCCGATCATAATCTTTTCTTAACCCTCCTTCACGACTGGACCAAAATGCGTGACTACTGTCTCCAACCACCAGTCAGAGAAGAACAGACATAGAGGAGGGAAACAGAGACACAGACAGAGGTACAGTAAAAGAAAAAAAAGTCAATAACCAGGGTTTGTACATTTTATTATCAGCTGAGCTGTGATGAAAAGAAAAATACCGTCAAATACCGTGAAACCGGTGAAAATGCTGAAAATACCGTGATATAAAATTTTGATCATATCGCCCAGCTCTATTAGAAAACTCATTTCACTTTGGTTTCTCTGCTTTATAATTGGGAATCTGTGAGATAAATGCACACAACAAGTGTGAATCTGGATTAATCTACTAATAGTATCTTTGCCTTACTGTTTTGTTCTCTCTTCACCTTCCAAATGTCTGACTGCATCCACTCACCAGATAAATGCTTGTTGGGGCATCGGGTTTTATTTATTTATTTTTGGTTCCTCTATAACTTTTCCTCCAGCTTGACCTCGTTCAGCTTGAGGAACAGCAAGTGACGTGGGATTATTAGGTGTTTTGAGTCAAGTCATGCCCTGAAATTCAATTTGGAGCTGGAGGAGCCCCTGAATGCATTTACTGTGAGCTTCCTGCTCAGCCAGGCTTCAAGACGCCCGAGAGAGAGGCCTCTTGTTGACAATGGCTCTGCGCGTTCTAAGACTTTCGCTCACTGATTGCCTGAGTGAAGTTACTGTACGGCTGCGATTCTCTTCAGTGTCGTCGGCTTCTGAATATCGAGGAACGTGCTACCGTCAAAAACTAACAAGCTGCAGCACAGATAAGTTGTATCGTGCCTCTTATTAGTCTTGAAGTTTTCCAAACGTAACAAAATAATCTAAAGCTAAAGTTTGTTTCCTTCTCCCGCTGAACACCGTGGGTGGATACGGCACCAGGTTTCTTCTCTTTTTTTATTGCTGTGAGTTTTTCTGGGGTTGTTGTGCTCATAAATAATGAATTGTAGCTGTGAATATCTTCACGCTGTCTCTTCAAAACAAATCTTTTTTTTTACTTCTCTCTCGTGGTGCATGTGAAGTTGACAAATTTCACATCAAACAGAATCCTGAGTTACATCATGGACTGCTTTAAGAAGTATTGTCAGTGCTGCAGGGTGTTTTTATTAATAAAAAAACACACCAAAAAAGCTAACGGTAGTCCTGTGTGGCTTCCGCTGATGTTTACGTGTATGCAGACCTATTTTCTGCCTTTTCTGCTACTTTGACACACTAGTGCACAAAACGCCTCTCCTTATTGAAGACTCAGACAAACTTTGTGATTAAAACAGAGGTTTGGRTCTCACAGGGCTGTGACTGGTGGAAACTATTTGATGTCTCCAAAAAAAAAGTGATATTTTAGTTATATTCTTACTGATTTTAATGATTTTCTGACCAGAGGCTCATAAATAAGACAGTCCAGACTGGGACTGAATGTGCCGAGGCAGTGAGGAGGGTTGGAGCCAGCCATACCTTTACAGGAAGTGCCTCTCTGTCTCACAAAGCGAGGTAGCAACAGAGGTGAAATGGTCGACGCGTGAAAAGGTGTGCCTCTGACCAGTCATGTAATGAAGTGATGACGTTTTGCTTGTGCGACCAGCTGGTCTTCAGATTTATTTATTTATTTATTACTGATAGAAAATGTGGCACAGTTACTAATAAAAGTTTAATTTTAAGTTGGTATTATAAGTTGTTATTGAATGCTTTGTGTTCCACATCAACATGGCTGAGTTCTCTTCATTTCTGAAAGCTCATGTCTGTACGGGACAGGGTCGACTCCATCTGTGATTTATGAGCAACCGGGTTGAGCGTAAATATGGACTGGTGTGTACAAACTTATCGTAAAACTGTTTTATTTTAAAGCTTCAAGTCGTCAGGTCACGTTTTGCTCGACCAATTTTTGAAAATCACAGTTTATATTCATGTGCACCGCCTGCAAGTCTGTTATTTTGTAGGCTACCTCCTCCCACATAGACTKTAGTCTACTCCCGTGTTTAGGATTTTATCTACTGGTATCACAGGCAGATTTATAGCTGTTTGTACATTTTTAACATTTACCATTGGTGTGATTTAACCCACAAATTAAAGTGCCTGTGACATGYATATTCTTCAAATACAAAACGTCRAAGAAAACATCTTTATATTTAAGAAAGTTGGAATAATACACATGATTTAACCCATTTTGTCACACAACTGGCATATTTTCCTTTGAACTTGGCTCAGCCAAAGTGAAACAGGAAGTGACATCAAAGGGGAACTCTCTGGTCTTTGTTTATTGAAACAATATTATTTGAACTCTGACTCTTCTTCATCTCTCTCTGATTGTGACTCAAAATAATCTTAAGGAACATCAGATTGTTCTCTACAGTCTGTTATTAGCTGWAGAAGCAACRCTCTGTTCACATGCAGACATTCCCCTTTGACATCACTTCCTGTTACTTCACATGCAAATATCTCAACAACTGTTCATCTCAGCGGCATTAAATTTCTTTTGCAATATTTTATCAGTGTCCTCTTTCAAATAATGAATTCATAGGTATTACAAAAATTTGATGTTACAGGCACTTTAATGGTTGTAGCAGCAAGTGTTTAAAAAAGTTCAAGCAAGGACACTTGGACGCTCTGTGGCTCACACAGGAAAACTGAGAACCCCCTCAACACTTTGAGCCATGTTGGAAACTCCCACGAATCCAGTCTCGAAGAGACTTTGTTTCCAAAACTGCTGACTTGAACGAATGGGGGATCAACAAGCTTYTGCAGAACTTGAAGAGGTAATTCAGTCACTGACTCAGGTGTCGGAGCAGAGAAACCAGTAAAACTTGCAGGACAGCGACCCTTGACCCCTGTACTATGGAATCTGTATATCCATCCTTGCGTTCCTACAGCAGCAGAACTGAGTTCATGAATCACAAATCTGACCTGTTCCTGTAACACAGAGGGGATTTGTTTTGCTCCAGTTGTAAGATATGTTCTTCTATCAGACAAGGCCTGTGAGATCTGCCCAGGTCAGCCGTGGTTTGGATTCAGTCAATTTGTTTTTGAAGAAGRAGGGAGCAGATGAAATCTGTCAGCTATTATAGACCCATACACATTTATGACGACTTTCCGCTCACATAAAAATTMATCTCCTTAAAACGTTTTAACGGCTACACACGAGCACACATGAGGCCGTCGCCTGTCAGGCTCCCCGTAGACACACACTCGGTCCGAGGCGCTCGTGTATCTCCGGCTTGCTGGCAGTTGGATAATAAAAAGGTTAATTGCGGCGTAGAGAGAGCAGGCCATTAGGCCGCCATCGGACCCACGAGCGACGGCGCAGGCAGGGGCGGAGTGGGCGTGACCTCGCTGATGTAATGAGAGAATGAGTCACGCGTGGCCGCCGTGGAGGGAAGCGAATATGACARATACCAGGGATTGATKGCTGGGAGACCTGCTCCTCATCCAYGGTGATTCGTGCTCCAGCTCTCTGACACTAACAACTCAGAGATGCTCTGCTTAGCTGCTAATTGTAGCAAGGCTTTGGCACTCAGCTGGCTTGTTTTTCCACCGTCACAGAGCGATTAGAGGCCCATTAAACGTCTCCTCCAGTGTTTCAGCCTTTCTTTGATGGCTCCTASGTTTCTGTACAGGACCACAAAACAGAGTTTATCTACAGATTGCAGGTTTTCTGGAGAAGTTGTTGCAGCAAGTAAGAATGTTATTTGTTTTTTGCAGCTTGAACCAATATTTCTAGCTTCTGTTCAGAAGAACTGCATGCACCTTGTTTCAGAATGAATAAACCCTTTCATTTCAGAAATAAAAGAAAATGAAATATCTGAACCACAGGAGATATTGATCATCTGCTTGCAGCAGTCCATTTCTGGCCTTCTTTGAAACAATACACGACTTCCTTCCCATTGCATGAACTTGATTTTGATCCAATATGGTGGTTTTCAAGAATGGCTGCCATGTTCTGGACAAGATAGGCCTCCTCACCCATTAATTACTGGCGCGTTCAGATATTAAATTTTCCCCTTTTCTTTCTGAAAWTAAAGGCTGTCCTGAGACTTTTGACTCACCCTGTAGACTAGATTGTGGAAAGCCAACCTCAACCATTTCCTGACAGCTCCCTATCTTAACAGTTAATGAATTTGGAATCTGTTGGAATATTCATAGCAGTAAATTAATTAAAAGTTTAAAGACTCAATGTAACATCTCACTGGGCTGCGACTGCTCCTKACAAATTAGCATTCATAATGGAGTTTCTAAAATGTTTGTGGGGCTTCTCAGTCTAGCTGTAAGGCTTTTCTCATCTGTCACTAGACTTTGAAGGTGTTGTAGGCATCTAGAATCATTAATAAGTATTATTTTTTATTATTCTAAAGCACTAGAGGTGTATAGTATTTGTTTGAATGCAGAGTTGGGCACAGTTAAACAACAAAACGTAGCTTTGCTAACTCTTAATCCGCTTACTAAAA